CCATTCCTCAAAAGGTTAAACAATTACCACAGGAACCAGCAGCTCCACTGCCGGGCACGGACCCAAAGGAAATGAAAACAGGCCTTCCAATCAAAACTTGTCCAGATATGATCACTGCAGCATTATTCCCAAGGCCAAGCGGTGGCTACAACCCAAATGCCCATCGATGATGAATGGATAAACAAAATATGCTCCATCCATACAATAGAATATTACTTAGCCATGAACAGGAATGAAGTACTGATCTTGCAACAACACAAGGAAGCCAGACACACTAGGTCGCCTCTTGTGGCCACCTACTGTGGATTCCATTTATGTGAACTATCCAGGACAGGTAAATCCGTCAAGTCAGAGAGCAGGTTAGTGGCCGCCGGGGGAAGGGGAATGACCGCTTAATGGTGCAAGGCTTCCACCTGGGGAGATGAAGTTCTGGCCCTTGACAGAGGTGATGGTTGTGTGTGGTGAATGTGCTGAACGCTACTGGCTGGCACCTCAGAATGATCAAGATGGCAGACTGTATGCTATCTGCTGTGTTCCACCACAATGAAAAAAAAATACACATTTGCTGACAATCAAATGCTCATCAAGTCTCTGCTGGGAGCCAGGAACTGTGCTGAGCCTTTGGGACCCAGGGGAGAATGAGACTGGTGGGTCACCGTCCTCCGGGGAATTACAGGTGGGGAGGAACCCAGGAAACGTGGCTCCATCATCCCTCCTCCTGGCCCCCTCCTCCTGACAGGTGGGGCAGACAAGCAGAAGAGGTGAGAGGGGGGAGGGGGCAGGGCTCACATGACGTAAGCCCAGGGGAAGTACCAGGTGTTGGAGTACCAGGTGTTTGCACACGGTTTCGGTCTATTCTCACAACACCCCAATGAGGTAGGCTCCCACAGCCCCTCTTCTTACGCCCTCCTCCTTTTTAAATGTGATTATTCCTTTTTTAAAGATGGGGAAATGAGACTCGAGAGGTGAGGCATCCGTGGCCTGAGGCCATCATGCCGCAGAAGCCAGTGGAGCTCCAAGTCTGACCCCAGCTCTGCCCCCAGGGAATGCTGCTGGAGGGCTCCCCCTCGGCCAGGGAGATGAGGCCCCAGATTCCTGTCTCTGGGCAGAGACTCTCAGGAAGGGCAAAGACTGACTTTCCAAAGGACCACTTCCCGGGACAGAGGGGCCAGTCTGCGTGGACCCGCCAGTGCCCAGACCTTGCCAGTCATGCAGCGCCCTGTGTAGACTGGGCAGCTGCGAGCCCCTGGGGTTCAGAACTTGGGCTGGAGAACCACTGCCGGGATCTCCTGGGGACCTGAGCCTGTCTCTCCACCCTGGGGGCAGTGCTCTGCTCATGTTTAATGCAGGAGAAGCGAGCTGGGGGGGTTCTTTTCTCCTTCTGCCCCCGCGAATAGATTCAGATGGATGGATAGACAGAATGATGCACGGACACACAGACAGGCCCCTCTCATGCTCCTCACTTCCCTACCTATCCCGGCATAGGCCTGCTTTTCTCAGACTGTTTACATTGATCCCGTGACTTTATTGTTCTCACTGGTAATGTGTCTCGGGGTCAGGAGTGTACATCTGCCTCCTTCTTCTAGAAAGAATGTGAACGGGGTAGGATCCCACAGCCCCTCCCGGCCCCCTCCTGTGTTGGTATCACAAACCTCCTGAGCCACCGGCCCCACCGTGCTCACCGGAGCGTGTCTGCAGGGGCCTCCCGGGGCCAGAGGTCACGCCATTTAAATTTGGGAAGAGGCTCCAGAACAAGGTTATTTCTAAAACCGTTTCTGGCACCAATGTTTTCCCTCGTGCAGGGGAGGGGGGTGCCCTTTGACAAATCAGTTGGCACCTGCACCTGATGGGAAGCCTGGAGAAGCACCCGCTGGAGGGGGTAACGCTGTCCTCATGGTGGGGCTCAGCAGCTGGACACCCCCCGCCCTCATGCACAGGGCAGAGCCGGGAGGCTGAGCAAGGATGCCGGCTCGCGTCCGCACAGCTGCGTGTGAGACCCCAGTGCAGGCCAGCAGCGCTCAGCGTGGGGGACGATGGTCCCCGGGGACATGGGCCAGGCTTGGAGACAGCTGTAGCTGTCAAAAGTGGAGGGGTTTTCTGCTGGCCTCCAGAGGGTCGGGTGCAGGGAGGCCCTTAGGCACCTGCAAAGCTCGGGAGCTCCTCCGACAGAACCACCCAGCCAGAGGCCAGCAGTGCTGAGGCGAGGAACCTGCCCTTGCCTAAGCCCTTATCAGATGCCCACCCCCTACTCACCCCAAACCTCCCTCAGAGATGAGGAAACTGAGGCTGGGAGGGCAGTAACTCGTGCAAGTTCTCTGGCAGCGGGAGCCAGGAGCTGAAGGTCAGCCCGGCTGAGTCTAGGGTCGGCCTCTGGGTCGCCCCTCGGTCTCTGTGCTGGCCGAGGACTCACTGCCTTGGCCTCTGGAGATCACCGACGGCGTGGGTTACAAGTCTTACCTTCAAGAGCACGCCCCCACCCCCTCATCGGAGAGGGCTTATGACCTTGCACTTGTAACCACAGTCCTTGCTCCCATTCATGCGCTGTGTGCTACGCACTTTAGGAGGGTTAACTCATTTTCACCCTGATAAGGACGCAGAGGCAACCAGGTCACAGAAGCGCCCACAGTTTCTCCTCCATCACACAGGATATAGCAGATTTGGGTTCTAGACCCAAATAAAGGGGAGCCAGAGGCCAATCATGACCCCTGTGCACCATGGTCTCCCTTAAATTCTGAACTTTCTCCTCGCTGCCTTGCACTATCTCCTTGCTTTAAGTTGGAGCATGACAGCCGATCCCTCTGCTGGAGGTGTGGTGGGGGGTTGTCCCCTCCTTAAGACCCTCCCACTTGTAGGGAGGTGGTCACAGCTGCCCAGCTGGGAGGTCCCAGGGACCCTGCTGTCAGTTTCAGCTCTTGCCTCAGAAAGAGGCAGGCCCTAATAAGCAGGGGTGGAGGTTGCTGCAGGGAACGGAAGTGGGGGAGAGGGAGACAAGGGGAAGGTGCAGGGACTGAGAGGGAAGGGCCCAGGTAGGGGGTGCCGGACTGCCTTGGGCCCTGACCTAAGTTCCTGGAGCAAACCTAGCTGTGCCACTCAGGCACCTGAGCAGACTCTGCTGCGGGCACTGCGACCCACGTCTTCCCTATCCTGGGTCAGACTGAATTTGGCAAGCCTAGGTCTGGCAGTGGGCTCAATAAAAAGATCACACTGGGTGACACAGCCAAGTGCAAACCCCCCAGGAATGGATTCTACCAGGTAGCTGGGTAGCTGGGGGGGATCAGTGTTGAGCTCCAGCCCTGCCCCTTCCAGCAGCTGCATGACATTCTCAGGCCTCTGCACCTCCTCTGACAAGGGGGATGGCAGCACCCAGCAGTCCCCACGGTAAATGTGAGGATTGGAACCAGTGCTGGGGGCCCCAGCACCCCCACTGGCCCTGGGGAGGCTGTGACCAGCACTGCTACCCCCTGAGTGGGTGACCTTGAGCAAGTCTAGCCCTCTCTTTGTGGCTGTTTGCTCAGCTGTCAGATGGAGGGACAGAATCTCCCATCTGGAAGTGTTTTGAGGTTTTAGGTCTCCAGATCGTTTATCTTTCTCAGATGGGGCCACTGGTCTCTCCTGGGGAGCACCCCTTTAGATGCACGTTTCTCCACATCCACGCAGGGGGTGCAGCTCCAGTGAGCAAGCCTGCCTCCACCCCCAACGTGACCCAACAGAGAAGAGCCGAGCCGAGCCCCTCCAGTCACCAACATCCTGTCTCATCAAAGCAGCAAAACCAGGGCGGCCTCCGGCCAGATGCAGGGTCCCTGCAGCCTCCGGATCCCTTGGCTGGGAGCCCCAGGAATGCCACCTGGCAGTGCCCAAGGAGCAGGGGTGCAGAGGAGGGGGGCAGCCCCAGGGAGCACACTGGGGCCCTCCTCTCTGCAGTGACACCCCTTCTCTGGGAGAGGGGCTGGACAGCCTTGGGGGTATTCTGGGAGGGGGTCCCCTGGTCCTTCTGCCTCGGAGGACACCTCTGTGTACAGAGTGCAGCGGCTCCGAGGAGGACCTCCCAGGCTGGGGTGCCCGTGCCAGGGTTTGGTCTCCTCACTCTCCACTCTGCTCTGATCCTGGCCAGGGTGGGGGCAAGGAAAGGCGAGGGTAATGACAGGGTGCGGGCAGGTGTGGGAGTGGGCTGGATGAGGGGCCTCAGCAGGGTGGCATTTGGGGGAAGGCTGGAGGGGGTGCAGTGGGGTAGGCCCCTAGGTCGGGAAGGGCCAGAGCCTCAGCTGTTTCTGAGTGAGAAACCTGCCTTACACCTGACTGGAGGCAGAGGGGAATCCCCAAAGGCCTTTAGCATGGTGGGGTGGGGGACAGCCACGGCTGTCTTATGGGGGGAGGGGGTGGGGTGGGGGAGGGGATCTTCCTCTTCTAGAAACAAATCCCAGAGCCCAGTTTCTGAGGTTCAGGTGCAGAGAAGTGCATCTTGTGTTTGAGGGTGACATGCACAGTCTCCGCGCTGGCTGGGATTTTCTGGTCTGAAGGAGGGGCCCAATGCCAGGATACCTGGGGCCTCCATTAAGGAGGGGTACCATGAGGGGGCTCACGTTATCCATGAGCTGGGGAGACCCCAGCATTCTGAAGGGAGGGTGCGGAGGACAGACCCACACTTAGTTTTTCAGCGAGGGGGAGGGGCACTGGTCCCCAAAGACCTGAAGGTGCCCTCGATGCCTTCAGAGACTGGACCCTACTTTTGGGGGTTCATCCCATTCCCAGGGGTAAACGGGGAGGGGATACCGATCTCGAGCCTGGACCGGGAGGAAGGGCCTGATTTTGAAGGGAAGGGAAGCGCCTTTGCTCTCTGGGAGGTGGGACTCTATTTTGGGGGGGCCGTGTCTAGACAGGATGAGGTCCCCGTTTCTAAGAGATGCCGCGTTTTGGGGCTCCTGGGGGGCAGGGCCGACGGAGCCCACCTCGGCTCTGCGCGCAGGGCCCGCCCGCGCCCGGCGCCCGCGCCCGGCCCTTACCTGCAGGCCCGGCTCCGGCGAGCGAGCTGGCGGCGCGGCGGGGCTGGATCCGCGCTCTGCGCCCGCCGCGCGGTCTCGCCGCCTCCCCGCGACGCGCGGGCCCCTCCGCCGAGGCGCGCCGGCCAATCAGCGCCGCCGGCCGCGGGCCTCGCTCGCGCGGCAGCCAATGAGCGCGCCCGCCACGGGCCACCGCCCCCGGAGGGGCGGGGCGGGCAGAGTCCGGCCGGGCGGGGCCGGGGCCGCGGCCGGGGCGCGGGCGGGGCGCGGGGACCCCCCTCCGGAAGGGGCGGCGGGCCGGGACGGGGCGCGCGGCGCTGGGGGGCGGGCTGCGGGGGGGCGCAGGTGACTTCACCCCAGACCGCGCTTAGCGGGGCTGCCCTTCCCGACCCCCGCTGCCCCGCCTGCACCCCGCGCCCCGATCCCGGCCTCCAAGCCCGGGGTGACAGGCAGAGGTTCCGCGTGAAAGGGGGGAGCGCATCCTCCCCTCGGCCGCTGTCCCGCCGCCCCTTCCCCCCAACGCCGCCCCGCAGCGCACCCCCGCGCGCTCCAGGGGCCAGGGCTCCCTCTGCGCGTCTTAGGGTGCCCCCCACCCCCTCGGCCCGGACCCCCTCAGCAGTGAGCGGGGACGAGTCCTCCTACTTGGGTGCAAAGGAGATTCTGTTGTAGAGCAGCCCCGATACAAAACGGGGTGCCTGACTGTGGGTCCTCACCCGCGCGCTTAAAAGGACTTATCCGTGTCTACCGCAGGCACCCGCGAAAGGTTCATAAAGGTGTATTTACAAGGGAAGGGGAGATGAGGAAATGCACAGCTCAGGGGAAAAAGTGGGAGACAAAGTTTTAAATGAGTCCTACCCGATCCGTCGATCAGGAACCCCAGAATGGCGCTCTGAGAGCTGGCCGCCAGCCAGGAGCGGTGTAGCCAGGAGGCGAGCGACAGCGAGCCCCCCAAGGCCCACGTGTTTGGTTTTTACATCCAACCTGGCTGCCCAACTCCACCCTCAGGTCCCAGCCACCCTCCCTTTGGTGGTGACGGGATTTGTCTTTCCCAGTGTCCTGATGGCTTTAGTCTGGAGTGGGGGTGGGGTCCACAAAGCCTGTATGGGATTAGCTCAGGACATCCTTTCCCCCTAACAATTTCCCCCTTTCACTTTTTGCCACCATTTCCATGGTGATGAAGATCAAACATATGGATGCTGGGATATAGTAGAGCAGCCCCGATACAAAACGGGGTGCCTGACGGTGGGTCCTCAACCGCGCGCTTAAAAGGACTTATCAATGCTCCACTGCAGGCCCACGCGAAAGGTTAATAAAAGGTTTATTTACAAGGGAAGGGGAAATGAGGAAACTTCCAACTCAGGGAGAAAAGTGGGAGACAAAGTTTTAAACGAGTCCTACCCGATCCGCCGATCAGGAACCCCAAAATGGCACTCTGAGAGCTGGCCGCCAGCCAGGAGCGGTGTAACCAGGAGGTGAGCGACAGCGAGCCCCCCAAGGCCCACGTGTTTGGTTTTTATATCCAACCTGGCTGCCCAACTCCACCCTCAGGTCCCAGCCACCCTCCCTTGGTGGTGACAGGATTTGTCTTTCCCAATGTCCTGATGGCTTTAGTCTGGAGTGGGGGTGGGGTCCACAAAGCCTGTATGGGATTAACTCAGGACATCCTTTCCCCCTAACAATTCTAGATGTGATGATGGTGTTTTGTTTTGTTTTGTTTTGTTTTTAGAGATTTATTTATTTATGCATGCAAGAGCTGGGGTACAGGCCAGAGATGGGGGGGTGAGAGGATCCACCAGAGACAGAGTGGGGAGCAGAACAGGCAGACTGACTGAAATACACTGCTGAGGGGAGCAGCAGGGAGTCAGGAGAGGCCTGCTGTGCCATGTGGGTTGCTCCCTGGCCGGCTGCGGATTGCTTCATAGTGGGTGCTTAACCCCTTGCGCCACCAGGGAGGCCCCGTGATTATGGTGTTTTATAAAAATTAAAATGCTGTGTGAAAACTAGTTAATAATAAAACGTGAATGGCTCATAGCCCCACCTTTTTCTAAAGGGGGTTCACTCTTTCCGTGGTTAGAGCAAAGACACTAGCAACTGTCCATCAGAACGAGATCACCACGTCCTCATGAGAAATGGGTGAATGGCGATTCCAGACTTTAAACGGCTTGGTCTTCCCTGCTCAGCCTCATCAGGTAACTATGTCCTTTTTGTGCTGGAATCCTGCAGAACACTGAGGTTCCCTGCTGCCCCTGAATCCAGGCCTCCCTGTCTGTGAGTAGGCAAGGAAGATAGCAGGGGTGAAAATTAGGGATTAAGATAAATATAAACCAAATAGATCGTTTAAAAAAATGCCAAAACCCCCCTCTCCTTCTTGTGTGGTTGGTGACTCTAGGGACCCCAAGGAAGAATGAATAAGAATAATTCAAAGGACCAGCAGGAAATAAAATTGACCCTCTCTTCTGATGGAGCTGTAAGCTTTGTCAGTCCCTTTGGTGTGCCGACCCCATCACCTTGCTTGCGGGGCTTGCCAAGGCCTGGGTTATAAATCTAGAAATGTTTCCTTAAACTCAAGTCATGTGGATACTCCCCTTTACTGCAAAGGACCCCCCAAAATTAATAAAATGGTCAATACACATGGGAGGAAATAAAATTCATCAAGGAACGGCGGGTTGAAGAGATGAAAATTTTTCATCTACCAAATGGCCTCTTATCATTACGGTTACTGATCTTTGTGGCAGTTTGAAAGAAATGGGCAGTTTCATGAGTTGCTGTTGGGAATATAAATGATCACAGCCTTTCTGGAAGAAAGTGGGCATTCCTATGAATAAAATCTTAAAAGCGAGCACTCTTTGACTTAGCAAATGGACCTCCATGGATCTATTCTGAAAGAGAACCGTGCAAAGGTTTAGCGATAAGCGGTGCATTGTCACCTCCTTGCAAACAAGGAAATGTACAACAGCAGAAATGCCTAAGTTTCATGCAACGTGTATTGATTACACTAGGGTGCCTCCACTAAGGCAGAAGTGTGGAACATCGAATGGGACCGAGGTGTTATTCTCAAAAGGGCGAGTGAACAGTCAAAGCCAAAGGCAGCCCCCCCATCTGTTGTGTGTGACCCACAAACAGTGGTTTAAAATGAGTCTTAATTTTAAATGGTTAAATAAAACAGCCAAAGGAGAATATTTCGCAACACAGGAAAAGTATATGAAATCCACAATTTTCATGCCTGAACCAAGCATTGCTGGCACACAGCCCTGCCTCTTCATTGGCTCTTTGTGCCAGAGTGGCAGGGCTCAGCAGCGTGGCAGAGATGGGGTAGCCCACAAAACCATGAATATTTACCATCTGGCCCTGTTCAGGTAAAGTTTGTGGAGCTCCAGACTAAAGTCATGGGAGAATTTGTGTCTTCATTGAGCTTGGTCTGTCCCGCTGAGGGGCAGGCCCTGGGCGTCACGTGGGGGAGCTGCGCCGTTTCTGGTTAAGGGAGGGGATGTGAGAGGATACTTACAACCAGGTGCTTTGCAAGCTGATTCTCAAATAGCTTCATTGCGCCACTTGTGAAGAAAGCTGTCAGCAGGTGGGGAAACCCGCTCACACTAGCTCTGCTTGCATTTCCCACAGTTCACGGTTTTTGTGTGGGGTTGCTCAGGCTGCCGGTGTCTTCCCGCAAGGCTGAGAATGTTTTCAGAGGTTGGTTGAGCCCCAGGATGGGAGCCCTTCCAGAAGAGCAGCTCTAACTGGTAGGGGTCCCGGTATCCCTCCCAAGAGGTGAAGCGGAGGTGATGGAGCTTTCGGCTCTGGGACGACAGCAGTCTGAGCGGGAGATCAGTAACCATCGGCCCATTGTACAGAAATGGAAACAGAGGCCCAGATGGGAGGGCAAGCTTACCTAGAGCCAGATACAAGCCTTATTTGTTAGGCCTGTGCATTCCACACCCCCTGCTCACAAAATAATAAAGGGGTAGCTTTATTATTGGAGAAGGCACCAGCTTGGGTTGAAATGAGACTGAATCCTAGTTTCACCTCCTGATGGCTAGGTGACATGAGATAAGTCATTTTATCTCCTCTCAGCCTCTGTGCTCTCTGCAGCCTCTGTGTTATCACAACATCCAAATGTAAAAGAAATGAAGCTGGACCCTTAACTCACACAATACACAAACACGAACTCATAGCAGATCAAAGCCCTAAATATGAGAATTAAAACTATGAAACACTTAGAGGAAAGCAGTGGGTTAGAGCTTCATGACCTAGGATTTGGCAATGGTTTCTTATTTGACAACAAGAGCATCGGCCAACAAAGGAAAAAATAGATAGATTGGAAGACATCAATATTAAAAACATTGGGGCATAAAATGGTTTAAAAAGCCTGCAAAGACAGCTCACCAAATGGAAGAAAATATCTGCAATTCATATATGTGGTATGCAGAATATATAAAGAGCTCCTATAACTCAACAACAAAAAGACAAACAACCCAATTCAAAAACGGACTTGATAGACGTTTCTGCAAAAATATGCATAGGATAGCGAATGTTGCTAAGGATGTGGAGCAACTGGAGTCCTCGTATTCTGCTGATAGAAGTGGTAAAGGGTGCTGCCACCATGGGGCAGTGAGTCAAGCATGGAGAGCCACCATACAACCCAGCAATTGCATTCCTAGGTAACTAGCCCAAAGAATTGAAAACAGGTGTTCAAACAAAAGCTCGTAAATATTCCTAGCAGCACTGTTCACAATAGTCCGAAAGTGGAAACAATCCAAGTGTCCATCAACTGATGAATGGATGAACAAATGTGTTCTGTCCATATAATGGAGTATTACTCAGTCATACAAAAGGAAAGACGTACTGCTCCATGCTACAGTCTGGAGGGATCTTAAAAGCAAAAGACCACATATTGTATGATTCCGTTCATATGATTTATCCAGAATAGGTAGAACCAGAGGCAGAAAGGAGACAAGTGGTTGCCGGGGGCTGTGACTGGAGGGATTGGTAGAATGACTTCATGGGTACTCATTCCCCTTTGGAGTAATGGAAAAGTTCTGGAACTCAACAGAGGTGATGGTTGCAGCAAGGTGCTTAATACCATGGAACTGTGCACTTAGTTAAAATGGCAAATGTAAAATGAGTATTTTATCATGATAGGAAAACATCTCTGCCACAGTGGGTCATTTTGGGGGGGGGAGTGGGTAAATGAGAGGAGTTAATTTCTGGGGGGTATTAACACAACGGCAACTGTTACTACCAAGTTTCATCAAGTTTCCTTCCCCATTACCATAGGTTGGCCAGCGCGTGTTCATTTAGTCATTTAATAATTTGTCTGTTCATTCATTCATTCAACACGCGTGCATTTAACCCCTACTATGTGCCAGGTGCTGAGTTGTTAAAGACTTTGGGGATTTGCAGCTCTACCCCCACGGGGCTTCCATTCTGGGGTTGGGAGACGGTGTAAAAAGGCAGACAAGGAAAAAAGCAGCCAATTTCTGAGGGAAGTGAAAAGTAGCACCACCTGCCTGAGGAAACGGCTAATCTTTTAAGTCTTTCCAAAGGTCTTTGAGGGCATGTCTGAGATCTGTGGCATTTCTGGGCTCTCGGAGAACAGCAGCCAGCACACACTAGGTGCTCTGTGAACACTGATCAGTTTCACCCTGCGCATGGGTGGTGTCCAGCAGGTTCCTGAGGTGGGTGCCGTCTCCTCTTGCCTCTGGGACTGGCCCGGGGCGGGGCTTGGCCCCAGAGGATGGAAAGGCCCAAATTGAGATCAAGCTGTCCCCAGGGCCAGCAAATGCGCTGTCCTTGCTCCCCCTCACCCTCCGGCAGACCCCAGAAGACAGCCCAGGAGTCTTCAGGCCTCGGCAGACGTCTCCCCCGGAGTTACAGAGACCCGGGTTCAGGTTCTGCTGTCCGGCCCGGGGCGGGAGACGTTGCAGATGGCCTAACCTCTCTGGGCCTTCATCCTCCGTGACGCGGAATGAGGGTGATCGTGCTGCCCCGCCCGCTCCCGAGAGCAGTCAGCGCCCCGGGTGTGAGTTAGGACCACACGGACCAGAGCTTCACTCCCCGAGTTTGGGCTCCTCCAGAACAGAGACCCGGACAAGGTTTTGCATGAATTAGCTGAAAGGCCCTGGAGACAGCGGGAGGGAGGGGTGGTGAGAGGAAAGGGAAGGTTATTCCCTTTGGGAATGGGCGGGGCAACTGGGGCCCCATCCCTTGGGTACCTGGGAGCCACAGCCCCCCCAGCGGCAAGGGAGTGGGGGTGTTGACACACCAACTAACACAGTCCCTGCTTGGGAACTGCTTGCCCGGTGTCAGGTCCCCAAATCTGGCTTGTCCCTACTGGGATGAGGGGGCTTGGGGCCATGGACACCCCGAGGGCTGAGTCTCAGTGGGGTGGGGGGAGGACCCCTGCCGGCTCCTGAGTTGAGTTTTGACTCCTCCCCACGTGCTGCGCCCCCCCCCCCTTCTCCCAACATTCAGGTGCGTTGTCGTGGAAACCTTTCAGGGACTTGACGGATCTTTTCTCCCCAAAATAACCCATGCTGTCAGTCACTGCCAGCGCGGAGCCGTGGTTCGCAGGGAGGCTGAGGCGCAGTCATTCACTCTCGAGCAGGGAGCCTGCTGGGGAGCCCCCACCCCCAGAAGGCACTAAAGCAAGGCGAGGGCCGGTGATTAATGACAGCAATGGAGCGAGGGTCACCCCTCGTGTGCCCTCCCCGAGCCAGGCATGTCCAGCCCCGGCCGCAGGGGAGTGAGCCCTGTGCCCACTTGCAGACATGGCCGCGGGGGCCCGGAGGGTGGGTGTTGGGCTGTTTCAGTCCCACTCGGGCACCAGGCTGCCTCACCACAGAGCTTTCTTGCTTCTCGGCACGTCCAGGGCCGGGGCCGTGGGGAGCAGGCTTAGTGCCTCTCGTGCCCACTCAGGCCTCCAGATCGTGGCCCCCACAATCCCTCGGAGGTGAGCTCTGAAGCCGGAAACCCCACCACCGCCCCAGCCCGCTTCTGAGCTTGCTCCCTGGGGTGCAGAGGCCCCTGTCCCATGGGGCAAACACCCCCACAGGGCCCCACTGTGTCGTAAAGCCCCAGGCGGCACACATTGTACTCTCAGCCTCGGAGCGCCCCACCCTCCCCATGTCCCGTCCACAGGTGAGCCAAGGCCGCCCTGGGCAGGGCAGCGGGAGGACCAGCCTCCCGCCTGCATCACCGCGTCCTGCAGCGCGTCCTGGAGTGCGGACGGCCCGCGGCCCGTGGAGGCGCTCGAGTCTCAGGCGCTTCCCCCTCCTGGGCCTGGGTGGGGTGCTGGTAAGTGGGATGGAGGCACGTGGGTTTGAGCTGAATCAGGCCGCAGGGTGGGCCGTTTCCTGGCAGCTTCCAGAACGACAGCGTCACGAGGTAGAGCAGGGACTTGGGGCCCAAGAGTCCCCCAGGACCCACAGAGCAGAGGGGCTGCCGCGTCTAAGGGGACTGACCCTGCCGTGGATTCCTTGGCACACGTCCCGGTTCCCATTGGTGAGGCTGGGGCGCCACCGCGTGGCCAGAGCCCTCGGGCAGCGCGTCGGGAGGTGAGTGCCCGGGAGGGACAGCACCTGGGGGAGAAGGACACGCGCGGCCGGCTGGGAGACAGGGCCGAGAACAAGCTCCGCGGCGGTCTCCACCCCCGGCCGGGCCACAGTGGGGAGCCCTGAAAGGTCCCCCTACCGTCAGCCCACCCATTCATTCACTCACTCACTCACTCTCTCTCACTCTCTCACACTCACTCACTCTCTCACTCACTCACTGACCCATTCATTCACTAGCACAGCTGGGAGTCACCCTGGCCCCCATCTATCTCTTCCTGGACCCCTCAATGACTCAGGAGTGAATCTCAGTCCATTCACCGAGAGAGAAGAGCGTGAGCATGTCGGGGAGCCCCGGCGCTAGAGGGACCCGCTCTGTGCCCGGCCTTGTGGGTGGGCCAACGCCCAGCTGCCCTTGGGCAGCCTGAGGCAGACCCCATGACCCCGCCTTTGGGGTCCCCACCACCTCACGGGTGGGGGCTGGACCTTGTGACCCACTTGTCGAGTTGGGCTTGACCAAAGCCATGGGCTGTGCCATCCAAGACAGGGCACCAGGCTGGCTCGGCAGGGGCTGCGATGAGCAACCGAGTTAAGATTCGCACATGCCTGGTCCCTGCGGCCCAGGTCAGCGGATGGCCAGGCCGATGGACCGGAGAGGGGGAGCCAGAGGGAGAGGGCTCTGGGGGGGCCGAGAGTGCAGAAGCAGGGTGGGTGGGGCAAGGGCAGCAGGAAGAGGGGAAGCAGAGACAGGGGGAGCACCAGGGTGGGGGAGGAGGGGAGAAGAGAGGCACTAGACCAAAAACCAGACAGACAGACAGACGTGAAGCGGGACGGAGGGGAGACGGAGGGAGCAGGGCTGCAGAAGGGGTGTGCCATCACAGCTGGCGGGCAGCCACACCCAAGCGCGTGCTGCTTGCTCTGAACACACTTGGCTAGGGGCACGAAAGGCCAGGTCTGTCCAGGAGCCCCACCTGCTCCCCTGAGCGGGGTCAACGGGGGCGGGGGGGCGACAGGTGGGGGAAGGCGACTGTGCCCCCTTCTGCCTGCTGTTATTACAGCAGCTGTAAGCAGCTAACGCTGGGGCACGGCAGCCCCCCCAAGAGTGTGCAGTGCCCGAATGACTCGGGGAAGGGAGCGTGCTGAAAACACTGGCCCCCACTCGACAGAGTGGCCCCTGGGTGCCTCGACACACACACGTCGCAGCAGGAAGGACACAGGTGCTTGAGCGGCCCCGGTGAGCAGCGGGCCCCGGCCGCCGCTGGGGGACAGACCCCAGGAACTGGGCGGGTCTGGCAGGCCCTTCTGCCTTGTTTCAGAATGATGAAGTCTCAAGCATGCACCTTTGTGAGCTTTTGATTTTATTAGAAAAATATCACAAGAACAGTCACGAAGCCCAGCTTGCTGAAGGATGGTCACGTGACTCGCTCCACAAACACCTTCCAGAGCTCCTGCGGCACAGAGAAGGAGACCGGGATGCGACGGGGCCGCCGGTGACCCAGGGAGGGAACCAGCCCAGGAGACTCAGCAGCCAGGCCGGCGGGGGCAGGCAAGCAGGGCAGGGGCGCCTGTGGGCATTCTCATTGCTCAGGGGGCTTCTTCCTTCCACTGTGGGGGCGCCCCGGCCCTGACCCGGGGGGCGTCAGGACGCCACACCCTCCAGAGGCACCGCAGCACGGCAGCCGGGACACGAGCTCTCCACTGGGGCCTCAGTGCCGCACGCTGGGGCTACTGGACTTCGCAGGAGCGGGCTTCCTGGGCCACGCGGTGCTTATCCTAGTGATGGCAGGTGCCACACCCACACCAGATCTTGGGCATCCCCACATCCTCACTGGCAATCAGCCCGGGCTGTGACGGGCAGGCAGGCTGCCCAGAGGAGACGCTGCCCAGAGGGCAGCTGGCACACTGAGGCCATGCAAAGGCCACGCTGCGGGAGGCAGACGGGGTGCGTGGTGGAGAGCGAGCACTGGTCCCCCCTGGCATCCCCTTCTCCTCAGGCCCAGAGCACGGGAGGCCACGGCCCAAAGGCAAAGGGAACGAAGGCCAGACATCCTCCGCCTCTGGACAGCTACGGTCCCGCTCCTGGACAGTTTCGGGGGTTTCCAAGGGTAATCTGGACTTTTCAATATCCCCAAGGGCTATGATGAAGCCACCCAGCGGCACCTCTTGGCTGGGTGACTTGGCATCAGCTTGGACTACTTAGGGTGACCACACAGAGGCCTGTGGTGATGGCGGCCCTCGTGCCAGCAACTCCAAGGTGAGAGCATCGGCCCTGTTCCCGCCCCAAGATCCACCACCCAGCGTCCCTGACATCCTGCTTCCTGCAGGCCGCCCCCGATCTTGCTTCCCCTGGAGTCTAAGCTCTTTCCAGGGAAAGAACAGGCCAGAGAATCCAGAGTGCTGGTTCGCCTGGCTGGAGTCTGGCTCCCGTCCTGCAGGCCAGGTGCAGGGCCCGCATCTGGAGGCCTTGGCCTGCTCCCACGGGGCCACCTACCAGCTGCCGGATGCGCTCGTAGACCAGGCGCTGCGGGAAGGAGGCCTCCACGGGCTCTACCACGAAGCGCAGAGGCCCGTCGGTGAGCCTCTCCAGCCGCTGCAGCGAGGAGCGGAAGTGGTCGTAGGCCTCGCACGTGACGTCCAAGTGTCTCAGTGTGAAGTTGAGCCTGCGGACAGCAGCGACACAGCACTGCTCAGCTGGCCACCGCTCTGCTGTCCCTGCCCGGCCAGCCCCTGCCCAAAGCATCTGGTGCGTGGAGCTGCAGTGACCACGGGGCCGGTGGACAGAGGCTGGGGGCATGGCGGTGGAGGGCGGCTGCGGACAGGCGATGCTTGGGCCCCACAGGCTGGCTTCAGGGAAGCTGTGTTGCGCCCATCAGCACATGGACACTGTCCGGGAGCCCGAAGGCTTGAGACAGTCACGTGGCAATGACCAGGGGCTCTGTCTGCATCAGGCAAGGACAGAAAGCTGGGGTGCTGAGGAGACGGATGGCGTCCCAGGGGGCCATGGGGTGAGGGGCTCTGGGGCGGGCCTGCTCCAACTGTCTGACCTGCTCTGGCCTGACAGGTACCCTGAGGTCTCGCCTCCTTTCTTCATCTGGAAATAGGGATGGCAGCACCCCCACATGGGGTGGTGCAGGGTCACGGGGGGTCATGTGTGCAGAGGGCCCGCGCAGACCTGCACAAAGTAAACAGCGCCCCCGAGGAGGCTGCAGAGCAGGAGAGGAGCCTACTCTTGGGGGCTCGGGGGCTGGGGCAGCTCTCACCTCTTCTCCACAGACAGGATGGCGGTGCAGGCGTTCTTGAGCTTGAGAGCCAGCGCAGAGAGGGTCTTAAACAGTGCGTCAGTGAGGTCGTCATCATAAAACACTGTGGGGAAGGAGAGGGCAGAGGAAGACCTGCGCGTGTCAGAGGAAGCGATTCCTCAGAGGAGCCCCCAACCGCAGAGAGAACCTCATAAGCAGGAGAGACCCCCGTAAATGCCCAGCAGCAACAGCCCTGAGTTACACGTGCGGGGGTGGGGGGTATCCTGGAAGGACATTTCTAGAAGGGAGGGAGCTTACTGCGGGCCTTGGCGCTCACCTTCGGCGGCCAGCAGCACCGTGGTGTGCTCGTACAGGTCCGTGAGGTCCTCCTCCGACCAGCTGAAGGGGGCCGCGGGGTCTGTGGGGGAGGAAGGACGTTCTCTGCTCATTCCTCTCTAGAGGCCACAGCTCATGAGAGACTGGCTGAGAGAAACTTCAGAACAAAAATGGGGTAACAGCTGCTTGGGGCCATAGGTACCCCAGCTTTAGGGCCATGGCCGCTGGCGGAGAGCACAGGGGAGGGGCGGTGGCCTGGGCAGGACGGGGTCTGTGTGGCAGGCTGGGCACTCCTACCCCACCTGCTTGTGTGTGACGCTGAGAAAGCGGCTCTGCCTCTCTGGATTTTTGTACTAGAAGGGGCATAAAGCACGTCCCTCATAGGAATGTCAGGCCAAAGGCCCTGATATGCGGAGCACCTGGCAGGTGGCAGGTACATGTCAAGCCCTGACCTCCAACCTCCTCAAAGCAGATTTCATACAAAGAAGGAAGAGGCGTGCTGGCCTGAACACAGGCAGGGTGAGGCGTCTGGCCACTGCCAGCCCGTGTGGGTGAGGGCGGCGCAGCAGGTCTTCTTGCCCAGTCTGTGGCGAGGGGTCTAAACCCGGAGCTGGCAGACGTGGGCCCCATCCTGATGCCTGCCATGTCTGCTGTGCGGCCCCGGGCAGCACTGAACCTCTCTGAGCCCCAGTCTTGACTCACGACCCAGGGACCACTGCGCTACTGTGCACTGGCATCGGAGTCTGAGTCACAGTGGGACACCCCAGACCACGCTGCCAGCCTGCGGCCGGGCGAGTGAGCTGGCAGGGCGGCGGCTGCAGCCAGGGCTCTGCGGGCAGACGAGGCCACAGGCAGATTGGTCAAGAAATGTCACAGGGGACCACGGGCTCGAAGAGGCCCCGGCGAGGAGACACACACCAGTGCAGAGGTCCACTTTCAGCCAGTCCAGTTCTTTGACCTTGACCGTGCCGCCTGTAAAGACAGAACAGGTAGAATTCCTCAAACTCAAAACATGAGTAGGAAAGAGGATAAACGCTTATTACCCACGATAGCTCGCCCTCCTTCCGCCGCCCGCACGGCCCCTCCCGCCCGCCCGCCCTCCAGGCTGGGCTCTGTGCTCAGGGCACAGAAGCTGATGTTCTGGGCTCACCTGCAGCAGCAGTCAGGTGACTGTTGAGGCTGGTGTTCCGCTGGCACATGGCCAAGAGGTCTGTCCCCACATCTGCAACGACAAAGGGCAGACCCTAAAGTGCAGCCGACAGCACCCTCTCACTGCGCGTCTGCTGGAGAGAGCGGGGGCCGCAGCCCCACAGCAGGGGGACGGAGTGCGTGTGGCACCGCGCCTCTCCCCCCCATACAAGCAGGTTCACTTTAGGCTCTTTCGAAAGGTCTTTTCCCTAAATAAGAGGGGCTCAGGCGGGGGCCATAGACTCCAGGCACCTTCCGGGGAAGGGCTGAGAGCTCCCACGTCCCTCTGCATAGAGGGGCCCAGCACGTCCCCCAGGCTGTGTCCTCTCTGATGACCAAGAGCCCAGGGGAGCTCAGACCGGGCGACCCGAGGGAGGTCACGCCGCAGACTCCAGAGGCTGGCGGCCCTCACTGCTCTCGTGTGACCACTCCTGCACCAGGTGCCCTCGCCAGCAGAGGCGGCGGGTTCCCAATGGCTGGGGCAGAGCTGAGTGCAGCGAGTGCCCCAGCCTTGCTGGGGTGGGCAGAGGTGGGGACGGTACTCTGCCCAAAGTTAAGTCTCGGCGAGAACGCGTGCGTGGGAGGCACAGAAAGTCTAGTCAGTGACAAAGCCTGGATGGGAGGCCGTCGTCTCATCCCAGGGGCCACGCGGAGTTCGCCAAGGCGAAGACAAGAAAACACAGGGGCAATGAAAATGCCCAGAAGTAGACTGGTTTGAAAAACAAAGATGAAATATTAGACTTCCGCTACTGTTGGGGAAGACGGCCTCGCAAAGGAGAAAGACTGTAAAACAGCCAATATACAATAACAATGCAAATTCTAAAGCTCCCTGAAGACAGCGACTTGATGCACTTCATCACCAGGCCTGAGCCTGGCTGACCGCAATGCTGGGGACACCGCCTGCTGGGGGCTGGGAGAAGGCTTTATCTGCCATTCTACAAACTTGTCGCCAAGAGCAGCAAGACTTTCACAATCAGGGAAGACGAGAAAGCAGTTTTTGGCAGCATAGAAAAGGTGGTGCTGGTGGGCTCTAGGCTGAGCAGAGGTGCCCCCACCCCTGCCAGGGCCTGGGTGTGGCTGGGTCACGCTGACCTGACAAACTGAGAGACAATGGCGGGTGGAGAAACCAGCAGGGCTGGATGCCGCAAGCACCGGCCTGCTTCCCTGTCTAGCCTCTCCCCCAGCCCCCCCATTCAGTCAGGAGCCCTGCTGTGCAAGGGCTGTGTCCCCACCTGCCACGCAGGGTTACCTGTGCAGTACACGGTCCTCGCCATGGTGGCTGCAATGATGCTGACCAACCCCATGCCGGCCCCCAGCTCCAGCACCGTGCGCCCCTGGAAGAGGTCCGGCTGGGACAGGATGTAGTCAGCCAGGAGCAGGGCACCCCGCCACACCTGCAGGGGAGATGGTAGGGACCTCCAGGTGACCTGAAGCTCTGGAGAGACACCTGAGGGCTGCGGGGTTGGGGGGAGGGGACCTACCTACCTGCTTGCCAACATCCTCCAGCGGGGTGGCCATGGTGTGCTCTAGACAGGACGGAACCAGGAGAGAAAGGGCCACTGTGAATCGGGGCTGGCCAGAAAGCAGAGGCAGGCACGGCATGCTGCACGCAGGCTCGCGGGCACTGGAGCTGGGCGTCAAAGGGCAGTGAGACAGGCCGGGTTGGCAGGCGGGAGGGGGCGTGTGCACGTCACCCACAGACCAGGCACTGGGCTGGGTATCCGCCCCCACAGTGCATCCCTGGTGCTCCTTACACTTAGACCCCACCCCCACTGGACGGTCATAACAAAGTCTGAAGTGCTCTCCTTGCTTAGGTGAGAATATTCTCCAGCCAGAAGCTGTAGGATAAAATCTGAGTGTGGAGGGGGTAGGGCGTGAGGTCAGGAGCAAAAGGGACAAGGCAAACCTTCTTGCTGTTAATGAAGAGCCGGCTCTAGCATTTTTAAGCGAGATGGTAACAGCAGCACATTCATCCACACCCCCCCGCAGAGTAGGGAGGCTCTGGACATGGCCAGACACACACAAATCAAATCACATGCTGCTCCCCAAACGAGGGTAGCAGGCTGGCGGGAGGGGGACAGCGAGCTGGAGCTGGCCATGAGGTCCACCCGAGCGAGGTGGGCTTTGCTTTCTGTCCCCTCCAGAGCAACTGGGCTTATGACAGGAGAGAGATAGGCTGTGCCATCGTCCTGGGGTCCCGGGGGACCCCCCTGAGGGGGTCTCCGGGGGACCAGACCTTCCTGCCCTCCCTGCAGGTTAGACTCTGGGTCCTGAGAAAAGGTGACTAGTGCATTGTTCACCAGCCTCTTGGCTGGATTTGACCTCCTGGTCTGGGAGAAATCACTTCCGAACCTCTGATTGCTGAAGCCCAACCTGTGTGTACAGGTTGTGAAACAAACAAAAGTATGTCCATGACTGGAAGCTCACTGGATGGACACCTGCCAGAGTCCAGAGCCCAGAGCCTAGAGCCAGAAGCCTGGCCAGAGCCCGGCCTGGGGCCGTGGGGCTCTCCCCTATGCTCACACTAATCCTGTGACGCAGCCCTCATCACCCCATTTCCCAGATGAAGACATTGGGGCTTGGCACTACGTTTCTAAGTTATGGGGACAGCACACCTTCTCCCTGCCGGCCCCCTGTGACTGATGGGGGAGCTCACGAAACTTCCATGCTATCCACAGAGGCAGCTGAGTGCCGTCCTGTGGGGCGAACCAGGCTGGGCAGGGAGGCAAGTTGCTGGGCCTCAGCTGGGACCCCAGACGATGTGCTGTTCCCTCTTCCCTGCCCACCCCTGAGGGGAGCTGTTCTTGCTGGTTCAGAAAGCACTGGCAGGGGTCCAGAGTAGAGCGCACAGGGTCGCCAGGTCTGTGTGAGGGGGGGTTGTCCCATGTGACAGATGATGACACTAAGCTCAAGAGGCTCAGTCATGTACCCATGACACCCCGAGTACCTGCCTCCCGGCCCCCAGTTCTCTCTGGTCCAGTTTCCTGATCTATGAAGTGAGGACGATGGACTTTGGATTTCTCAGTTTACTTTGACCCTCGGGCCTGGGACTCTTAGCAGGTTTACGAGTAAACTTTGGGTTTTTGTCACTCCTGAAGTTATGTGGAAAACACACTCTCCTCCAGGGTAGCCTTTTCTTATTCTTTTTCCTTTTCCTTTTCTAAATCAAATTTTCAGAAGGGCCCACCAAGTGCAAAGAGTCACGTGAGTGGACAGGCGGCTGGCAAGAGCGGCACTGGCACGAAGTCCCACCCACTGGGCTCCGACCTGGGTGCTTTCTGTGCAAAAACTGAGGTGGGGTGAAACCTGTCCCAGGCAAGTGGGGCCCTCTCCAAGTTACTCTGTGCACTGAAGTGGGGGGCAGAAGGGCAAGAGGCGCTGCTCCAGCCCGGGTTTCTGATGGCTCCCCACGCGCCTGCGCAGGGCGGACCTGATGACAGGGAGCGGAGAGGGTGACTTCCAGACACCGTGACTCAGGCCTGTTGCGAGGCCAGGGGGGCGGGAAGGCAGGGAAGCTGGCCACTCGGTGACCCTTTCTCCTGGGACTTTGCTCCTTGAGTGCGGGACAGTCAACCCCAGCACATGAAACTCGCATGCTCCAGAGGCCAAAGGCTGGACGGGGGCTGACCAAGCCTGTGGCGCCCCCTCGGGGAGGCCAGTAAGGGAGGGCTGAGCAGGAGACGGCCACCAGTGAGCCCTGAGAACAGACTGCACCAGAGACCCTCCCCAGAGGAGCAGTGCTGGGGCAGGGGGTGAGAAGGCGCTGTGGCGCCGGCCCACGTGGCTGAGCTCCGAGCCCTCCTCCCTCGGCCAAGCAGCTGCACGGCCGAGGCCTCAGCTCAGGGGATTCCTGGATCGCCTGAGCCGGTCCCGATGACCTGTCTTACTCTCTCTCCCTGGCCTGGGCAAATACACTGTGCGCCCTGACCCACAGATCCACACGGGGAGTCGCCGCAGTGGCGGGGAGCCAGGCCCTTACTTACCTATTTTGATGACATTGTTGGGGTCACTCCCTTGGGCTGTGTCGTCCAGGATGTCGTCCTCTTCCTGCCTGAGAATCACTGGATGGACCTTGTCTCTCGCAGGTCCAGGTACGTCCGGGTCAGAGGCAGCCCGGGGTCTTCTCACCACATCCAAATCCCCATCCTCGTCCAGCTGAACTCCCACCCCCTCCGGGCAGGCGTCACTGCAGCGGCTTCCCAGCGGGGATCCGGGGCTGCCAGTCCCCTGGGGCGGTGACTCCCGGGTGCAAGCACCTCCATGACCACCACCCTCTGCCCCTGAGTCTGTCTGGGCGTCTCCGTTCCGCAGAAGCTTGAACTGGGTCAGGAAAACTGAAAGGCAAACAGAAAAAAGGCGCGAATATTTCCAAGCTGCCTGCTCTTTATTGTTTCTGTCTCCAGGCTGGGTTTCACAGGCTGGGTGGAGACATAAAAAGGTCAGCAGAAAAGGCCCATTTGACTCAGCCACAACGCCGGGGTGTCTGGCCTGACCTTCACCATCGCCGTGAGGGCACACTCACCTCACTGCACTTCACAGACGCTGCCTTTTGCACACATGGAGCTGTGGGGACCCAGTGCCCAGTGAGCCTACCAGCACCATTTTTCCAACAGTGCTCACTTCCCGGCTGGGTCTTGTCTAGCTCAGGCCTGCGCAGCTATCTTAGACCCAGTGCTACTGCCCACTTAACAGACGACAGGACAGTGTGAACATGACTTCTATATACACCGGGAAACAAAATAAGTCACATGACTCATTGGGCTTTATCACGGTGGTCTGGAACCGCACCTGCACCTCTGAGGGGTGTGTGCAGTGGCCATCTTACAGACGTGGAAACTGAGGCTGAGAGAGTGTAGGTGAGCTGGCCAAGGACAGCTCTGAATGAGGCTGAGGCAAGGCTCACGCCCAGTCTGTCACTCCCCAGGCCACTGCCTTTGTCACCAGACTGGTTGGCTGGAGACCTACTAAGACACACTGGTCAGCAGGATGAACCAGGATCCAAAGTGTCCCTCACCCTCTGGGGGCCAGAAGGACACCAGGACAAGGTTCAGTGAGAGCGGCATGTCAGCGGGGGCCAGGGCAAGGGCTAGAACAACAGCCCCAGGCTGGAGTCCTTGAGCCCTGGTATCTGACCATGGACGTTGCTGTCTGTCCTTTACCTCAGTTTCCTGATCCAGGAGTCAAAATTATAGTGCGAGGAAAGGAGAGTGAATCATAGCAGGAGGGCCATCTAATCAGGGTGAGCAGGCTGGCATGGGTGCCAGGATGACATTTGAGGAGCCAGGGCCAAAAGGAAGAATATTCTAGGAAGCAATAGGTGAGGAAGGTGTGTGAGGGACAGGAAGGGGCTGAAATGGCCACAGCAAAGCAGGTGGACACACAGGCAAGGGAGGGGCAGCACTGGCTTGGAAGGTCAAGGTCAGGGGCTTATTCTGAAGTAATTTTATTCTGAAGTGATGGGACAGTCACCAGAGGATTTAAATCTGAGGGGTCATGTGATCTGCATTCCCAAGACCTCCCTGGCTGCCGGGGAGCTGGGGGGGCCAGCAGGCACCCTGGTGGGATGTGCCAGGCAAGTGATGAAGGTGCTGGACAGTGCAGACAGAGGGCAGTGGGCAGATGGAGCCGTGGTGCCCTGTCTCCCCTAACGGAGGAAGGTCTCCCTCGGGGTGGGGGTGGCCCACTCCCGTCTGCTGTCCCAGCATCAAGTCCTGGTGGGTACACGGGGGAGCTCAGGAGAGCAATTTACACAATGAAAGAATGGGCGTGAGAAAAAGAAAGTACAAGGTGAGGCCATGGGGTGTTGGGCCCCCCTTTGCAGACACCCTGGTCCTTACCGGGCTGCCCCATGCTGTTCAGTCGCACCATGAAGTGTCTGTGGTTTGGGGTGTAGAGGTGGACGTCCGACAGCACAGTGTCGCTTCTGAAGGTGACCTCATCCATGGCCGGGTGGGAGCCTCATTCAGCTACCAGGTGCCTGGCTCCACATAAGTCACGGGGCAGCAGCACCTGGGAGGCAGGACAGAGGTTCATACAGCAGGTCCAGAAGGGGGACAGTGTGAACAATTCCAACCAGGGGTACAGAGTTTTGCAGCACAGCGGAAGAAAGTGCTTCCCTTTCAATGCTTTTCATTTTCCCTAAAGGAGAAAGTTTCAGGGCCCAGGGAAGGGAAATGAAACCAGCTAGAAATGTGTTATTTTGCTTGTATTGTGTTCATTTTTATAGTAGTCTTTTATCTGTGGTAAGGGACCTGAGAAAGCTTTTTTAAATTTCTCCCCACTTTTTAATTATGAAGATAGACAAGAAAACGGAAGTCATAGCACAATAAATAACCATATAAATATACAGTGCTTAGATTCAATGATCTTTCTGCTGTGTTCACTCCATCTGTGTTTTTTTCTTCCCTGACTGTAAAGTATATTGTTGACATCACAACATTTACCCCTAATACCTCGGAGTTCATCTCCTAAGACGTGCTCATATAAACCCACAAGAGCCTTGGTAGACATAAGATAAAAAGTCCAGTCCAGTCAAGTTTCTCCACTTGTCATTCAAATGTGTCCACAGCCAGTCTTTCCTAAACCAGTATTCACTGCGATTTACATTTTACATTTGTGATTTGCCCTTTGGTCTTTGTTTATTCTACAAGTTGATCCCAGCTTCCCACATACTGTTGTTTTTTCTTTTTTAAAGAGTGGATTTAAAAGCAGTTGAGGGAATACAGGTGACACACAGGTATGGAAGTGTTATGAAATCATGAGGACCCAGGTGACACGGATTTCCTTAGAGGGGTATTTTCAGAACCAGGTATCCAGGAATGTGGGGGCACCTTGTAACTATCTCAGGGTCCGTGTGAGCATTAAATGAAATAATGGTGACTTTCAGGGTTCAGGGCAAAGTAAACTCTCAATAAGTAATAGTAAATATTACCGTTACACCATAATCTGCTATAAAGGGCGTGCTGGGAAGATGGGGAAAGGCAAAGGTGAGTTTCTTTACTTAGGAACAGCTGCCTCAGTCTCCATCTAGCTATGACGGGGCTGACTGAGCTTTAGGCCCCTCTTCTCAGGGGGCAGAACAGGGGAAGGAGACCCAGATGCAGATGGGGACCCCTTCCTCAGGTTGCAAATCATTCCCATGCAGTTGCTGACAGGAATCCTTGACTCTCCTAAGGCTGTGGGGTCTGACTCATCTTTCCCTTCCCAAAGCCCCCCAGCGAGGACTGCCCCCTAAAGCACTGTTTCAGAGTCTGGGGGTTCAAATCCCTCACCCCTCCTAGTCTTTCTGCCAGGAGCCACTCCACTCACTCATTCAACCACTTGGAACTGGGTGCACATTCTGTGCCGGTTCATAACCAGGCGCTGCACAACGGAGGGCAAGTTGTGAGGTATGGGCAGCTGGAGGCACCGGGCCGGGGAGTGGGGAAGAAAACTCGGCCCTGGGGGCCAGGGGTCCAGGGACTCCTCCCCGGGGCTCCTCAGACTGGACCTTGCCTCTCCTTGACACGACCCTTCCAGACTAAGGACTGCTCCCTCGGATGCAGCCACAACGTGATCACTGTCCTCCCCTCTACCCGCAGCTGAGGAGGCTGCTTGGACCCTGGACCGAGCCCCCGGGCCGAGCCCGATGAGGACGTGGACGCCTTACCCCGACACCAACTTAGAGGGGAAACTGAGGCTGAGCGTGGGGACCTGGGGCCCAGGTACGTGGGAGCCCGGATTTCACTGCCAGGTCCGGCGCCAGGGCACCTTTTGTGCTCTAATCCGTCCCGCTGCCTCTCCTAGGCGCTTACCCGCAGTCGGCCACAGTTTGAAGTCCTACCTAACCCTGTCACCTCGGGACTCAGGAGGCCGCCATTGTGGTCGGCCTGCGCATGCGCGGCCCCGCCCCTCTGCGCCCCGCCCCGTGGCCCCGCCCACACCCTGGCTGCTCATGCGTGCTGCGACCGCCCACCTGGCGCGTGGTCCTAGTTCTGGGCACCGCTGCGGCAGGTCCCCCTCACCTGCTGGGGGCTGCTCTTATTTGCCGGGTGTGTTGGGGTGACCGTCCTGGAGGGACCACGACTACGGGTCGGGGGGTCTGTTAGAAAACTCGCCCTCGATCACGCAGCTACTAAGTGGCGAGACTTGGATTCGAACCTGGGTCACCAGAGCTCCGGTGCCTCCTGCGCTGTTAAGCAGCATCCTAGATGCTGTTATTGCTACCCTTGCTCTTAGTAGTCAGTAGTAGTAAAAGCTGGTGGGTATTTCATTCATTCAGTCACAAGTGAATTGCTTCATCAGGCAATGAAGACTCGGTCTTACTTGAACTTCTAAGGGGAAATGAGAGCTGCTGCAGGTGTTGCACTCTAAGGAAACTGCTAAGCACCCAGGACCACGTGTGTAAAATGCACACACACACACACACACACACACACACACACACACACACACGGCCTCAGCTGGCACCCACTGTCTTAATTATTTTAAAATGGATTTCTCTTTTCAAGACAAAAGATTCCATGGGTACTGTTGATAAAACATGGGGTACGGGGCTTGATAAGGGTGACCTGGCAACAAAAGAGAAAAAAGTGTTTTTTAAGGAAATAGATCCTGTTAACTGAACTCCCCGGGACGGAGAGAAGTCCTGAGGCCCCGTGCAGTCCTGGTTCTCTCTTGCTGACTGAGAGCTCCTGGTGCTGCCAGTCCCAGAAAGGGCAGAGGCGAAGGTGCCATTCATGTTCCTGGGATTTGTCTTTGAACTTGGGAGAATAAACAGGAGAGGAGCAGGCACAGAGGCCCTATACAAAGAAAAGTCAGATCCTGTCTCTTTGTTAGAATCCTTTGAGGTGCCCCATCTTGGACAGAAAGGGACATGAGTGTGCTTTCCCCTCATACCCTTTCCACCTCACCTCTGCTCCCCCTATTAGATCTGCTCCCCCACCCTTATAACCTCATTTAATGGGAATTGCATTCTTAGAGGCCTGTAGGGTAAGGTAAAAAATGATACCAGGCTTTTCTGCCCTTCCGCCATTAGGATAGATGATGGATCCCTGTGGTCCTGAATGCATGCCTGATGGCGGGCACCTGGAGTGGGGTGTGGGCATGCATAAGTGGGTACACCTGGGCTGAGAGACCGAGCTTATAAGGGCGGCGTCACCCGGATGCCAGAAGAACCACAAGAGAGCAGAGAACGAGAGAGAGAATGAGAGCGAAAGAAAGGAGCAAAAGAGAAGCAGAGACCACAAGAAAATGCCGGAGAGCCCAGAAAGAGTGAAGACTTGCTGGGGGCTGGGAGGCCTGCCAGTCTCCCGGCTCCCCAGCACCCCTGCCTGCCGTGTGCCTGGTAAATCCCAATAAAAGCCGGCAAAAGCCACCGAGGGCACCAAGAACTCTCTCCTCCTTACCCTGTCTGCTCGGGTCGTAGAAAACCTGGCCTGTGCCTCTCCTGCCATTACAAGGCCCCATCTCCAAATTCAGCAGCACCGGGTAAGTGTTTCCATATATAAATTTGGAGAGATTACATTCAGTCCATAATACCTGTAAAGTCAGGAATGGCCACAGTGCAGGTTTTCTGATCCCATGCAGACCGGGTAAAGGAGGAGTCAGAGTCCTCAGTGGCTTTTTGCAGGTCTTTTATTGGGGTTCAGCGGGTACGTGGCAGGCAGGGGTGCTGGGGGGCCGGGAGGTTGGCAGGCCTCCCAGCCCCCAGCAAATCCTCAGTCTATCTGGGCTCTCTGGTGATCTCGGCTTCTCTTCTTTGCTCCTCTTCGGCTTCTTTCTCAGCTTCTATTGCTGCTACTGGCGTCCCCGTGACGCCGCCCTTAAAAAGCACAGTCTTAGCTCAGCTGAATCCCATCTACCTATGCCCACACCCTATTCCAGGTGCCCGCCATCAGGCATGCATTCAGGACAACGATCCATCATCTATCCTGATGGCGGGAGGGCAGAAAAGTCTGACATTTTCTTTACCCTACAATACCTTTCTTGCCTCTCAGTCTCTGGAGGTTCCTGGCATCACCCCAACATCTGCCTGCATTTTCCCATGCCCTTTTCTCTGTGTGTGTCTGTGTCCAAATGTCCTCTCCTTAGAAGGACATCTGTCTTTGGTTTAGGACCCAACTCCTCCGATAGGACCTCACCTTAACTTCATCACATCAGCAATGAACTCTGTTTCCGAATATGTCACTTTCCAGGTACATGGTTAAGACCTGAATGTATCTTCTGGCGAGACACAGTTTGACCCCCAGAGGAAGCCACCTTGGAAGGCTGTTCCAGACCCAGCTCCTTAGCCCCCAGCTGTGAGAGTCCCTGCCCCATCCATGTGTTCTCACCGGACCCCTGGGACATCATAGTGTACAGACAAGTCAGCCCCACACAGGCTCTGCCTGCATGCAGACCTGCAGAATCCATCAACAGCCAAAGACAACAGTCAATGCCACTGCATTTTGGGCATTTACGACCCAGCAGCATCTTATCAGAACAAGTAGCTTATCAGAAAACCCAGCCCGTCTTTGCAGCGCCATGAAGGCAGATGGGGTAGAACGGACCCTTTATTTCTGTGTCCAGCCGTTTCCAAACCACTTGCTGGGCTCTCTAAGTTCTTCCTTCGTCTCACCGCCACTGCTGACGCCCAGAGAGGTGACACACCCCCCTCCCCCAGCTCCCGAGAGGCAGGCTGGGTCTCTGAATCATCTCTGTGGGTCTGCTGGGTCTTTCAAGCACGCCAGGCAATTTTCGCCTCTGACTCTCTTCCCTGGGTGATGCAAGAGTTTGGGCGCTAACTCACATAAGCCAGAGACATCACCTGCCCCCTCCCCCCTGCCCCAGCCTGGGTTAATGACAAATCATGTACGTGGCGCAGGAAGCTGACCAATGGCCAGATGTGTGATGAGGAGCTGGCTTGCAGGAAATTGCTGCCAGGTGATTGCCGGGGGTTCAGAATAGCCCCCTTTCCAAAGGTTGTGCGTGGACAAATGCTTCCTGTGCTTCCCATTGGCCCCGGAGGACGCTGTCCTTCTGGACAGAGAACTCTGTCCCGGGGATGGTGGGAAGTGGGCGATGGTCAATGTTCTCCTCCTGCCAGCTGACACAGCGGCCCCAGTGACCACCTCTCGTTCTGGGCTGGGTGCGGACATGCACCCTCCTGACCTTCCAGGCCATGGCTCAGGACTCCAGCCCCCAGCTCCGTGGCTGATTAATTATACTCATTTGTTCAATGCATCCTTGTGGAGAGCTTTTCACCTGCTGGGTACTCAGGCAGATGACTTCTCTGAAACTCAATTTCCTCATTTCCTGGGTACTGATAACAATACCTACTTGAAAGGGTTGGTGTGAGAACAGGTGAAAAAAAAAATAACATGAAAAGTTCTAGGTATTTCTTAGAGATGATCTGACAGTATCTGGGATGTTGCAAAGAGTCCGTCAATTTCACTTCTTTTGCCAACTCAGATTGGTAGATGAAAATCGGCAAATTCTAGTGTTAGGCACACTGTCTGTCTTCCTTATAGGACACCTGTCATGGGATTTTAGGGTCCATCCCGATAATCAAGGATGCTCTCATCTCAAAGCCTTCACTTAGTCACGTCTGTAAGGACCCTTTACCGAAATCGGTTCACATTCATGGTTTCTGAGTAGACGTGTCTTCTGGGGGCCAGCATTCAACTGACCACAGCAAGAGAACTTGACGTTCACGCTCTCACACCAGTCAGTGATTGGCTGAGGTTCACCCCGGGAGGATGGAAACTCCCAGGCACTAATTGCTTTCTGCAGGTGTCGACGAAGTCATCCGAAGGCTATCTGGCTGATATTGTGCGGGATGTGAGTAAGATGTTCTCGTACGTAGAGAAGAAACACAAAATACTGTTTCCTCAGGATAGATGCATGTTATATAAATGCACAAAGACCCCCCCTCTTCTTGGGAGGGGTCTATGCTGGGGGTAGGATCAAGAGGCCTTTGCTTTCATTTTAAAGAGCTGCCTCATTATTATTTGTATATTTAGAAATTTATTTGGCACTGAAAGTGCACAGGGGCCTCCCTGGGTCAAACATGGTCACCAGGAGGACTGAAAGGAGGCGGTGGGAATAAAATGTGACACACTGAATAAAAACAACCTATTACCCAGCTACTCAGACAAACGCATCTCAGTCTGTTGGGGCTGCTCTGACAAAATACCACATGGCACATGATTTATTAACAACAGGAATTTCTTTCGCACAATTCTAGAGGCTGGAATCGAGGCGCCAGCAGGTCAGGTTCTGGCAGAGGCCCTCATCTAGATTCCAGACGGCTGACGTCTGGCTTTATGCTCCCATGGGGGTGGGGGGTGGGGTGGAGTAGGTACTTTGTAGGGTTCATATCCCACTTCTAGGAATGGGATATGGGCCCTAATCCCACTGACAGGACTCCAGCGAAGGCCCCACCTCCTGACCCCATCACATCATTAGGAAGTACTTACCGCTGTTGATTTGTCTCCACTGTGCTGACTGAGTGGAGTTGATGCTCCTTTAGCTGCTCCACTCCACCCCTTCCACTGCGCTCACCTGTGCTGACTGCACACGAAGCAAAAATGATGCAGTTAGGGTTCCCCACCCTGTCCGCCTGGCTGGGAGACCGATGCAGACTCTCCTTCCTCATGCCGGCACTCACCTGTTAGAAGTAGCTGAGCTGTGGTGGCTGCTCTCAGCAGTGCCGAGGGGTGTCTGCAGAGGTGACGTGGTCCTGACTGGTGGGTGGCCGCGGCTCCTCCCGTGGACACCTCTGAGAGTCGTCTGGAGGTCCTGGCTGTGTTAAGTCCCCCCAAGAACATGTGGTTTGAAATGGAGACGCTGGAGACCGGAGAACACCACCAAGCAGGGACAGGAGAGGCCTCAGGCAGCTTTAGGGGG